TTCAGGGGAGGCGAGTGGTCTCAGCGGAGCTAAACCACCGAGCGCTCAAAGACTTCATGATACTAATGAATAAAGGAAACAAAACCCAGTAAGAATAAACCTCAATGCACACAGATGACCATTTCGACCAGTCAGAAACAGCTCAGCTAACGAGCAAAACTGGCCTTCAGTATACACTGTCTGGCTCCAAATCAAATGTACTTACTTACTTAATAGACATTTCTGGTCTTATTGTAAATTATTTACTGGTGCACATTGTTGTAGATATTACAAAAATAAGTTTATTTATTAGTGCATGTTATTTTAGATACTAAAAAAAAGACATTTATTGCTGCACGTTATTTTAGATATAAAAAAAAAGACATTTATTCATTGGTGCACATTATTTTAGATATTAAGAAAAAGTCTTTAATCAAAAATGTAATAATTTGCATCACCTCTGCAGCGAATAACATTACTTTTTTCAAACTTTTTTTTACTTTTCCTTTCTGTGTACCATCAAATATTAAATGCCTCTATAAATCAATATATTTTAAATATATTTTCCACAATATTTAATTTTTCACAATTAATATTTAAAATTCTATAATGCAAATATCTTTAAAAAATGTTTAAGAAATGTATAATATGTATATACACACATAAATCCTTTTCCCCTCTCCATTATAAATCAATACCTGATTGATAAAAATGAACTTATTTAATACCCTATTTAACTTGGAAAAACATCAGATTATGGAAGTGAAATTTGTTGTGAACGCCATTTCATGCTGATTCAATGTGTGTGAATTACCTGAATTACAATGTCATTACAATACAAAATGAAACGGCAAACTAAGTTTCATTTATTTTAAAGAAAGAAGCAAATAAGCAAACTTTTCAATCTGGATGATTAAAAAAAAAACTATGTTTTAAGTGATAAAACAACAGAAATGAAACTCAAAATTGGTCACTTTGGTCATTTTGTGTTTGTGAAATACTAGCATTACATTAGTATTAGTAAGTCACTCAGCAAAAATGATGACATTATATTATATTATATATTTGTAAGTCACTATGTAAATATATTAACTGAAATGAACTAATTGACTACAAATGAGTGTTCTCACATGAAAGTTACGCTCTGAGGACACACAAGAAGGAAATGAAACAAAGTGAAACAGCTCACAGTGAACCCACATGCATGTACACACATGCACCAACAGCTGAAACTCAAAACAACTCGCTTGCATGCAGCCCACAGAGCGATTCCTGTGAGAGTTTACTCTCTGCTCCAGCTCTGCAAACACAAATGTCAAAGCCTATGCAAAAGAGCCAACAAAACGGCACTGTCGGTTTACCCTCTGCTCATTGTTTTACACCATTGTACCGAAAGAAAACAACTCAGCAAGTGACACTCATTATCAGACGTGTCGCAGCACGGCCGGTTACAGTTCAGGCCTCGAACACTGAAGCGGTCTGAATGATAACCATCAACTCTGAAACATTTTCAGCCCAGTACAATTTTTTTATACAAAATAAAGCTTACTTCTCCCTGCTGTTATAAAGTGATTCTCTGATGGGATCCTGGTTGGCTTAGTGGTTTGCTTCATGTTTGCAGCATGTGATGATGATGATGATGAAGGACTTCTGCTGTGTCTTGAAGAGGAGAATGAAGCTGATCTC